TCCAAGGCAGAATTAAATACTTGGCCCAAAGGTGATCCAAATTGGTCTAACCTGGTCTTAAAAGCCTTTTAATATCTGAGGTAAATAACCTTTGCTGCAGGTTAAGACGATAATTTTTTTTTCTTTCTATGTAAAAGTAATGTCAGCTTTCTGTAAAAATCATTTATGTATTTGAAGACTATTATGTTTCCTTCAGTCTTTTCTCTTTCTTTTTTTTTCTTGACTAACCAAACCCAATTCCTTCAGTTTCCTCCAATAATTCAGATTTTCTAAATGTCAGTTATTTAAAATGGCTCCATATTGATTGCAAACATTCTAAGGCATGGTCCCCAAAAGCAGATATGATATTCCACTTAGGATCTCAAAAGTACCAAGTGCAGGAGAGTGACTTATTCTTCTGCCTTCCACGAAACTGCTCTGTTACCATACCCCAGACAGGTATTTGCCTGGTTTTGTAACAGCATGACACTACTCACGTATTTGGCCTGTGGTCCATCTTGCTCGGCCATTATTTCGCACTTTGTCCACTGATGTTTCCTTCCCAAGCATGGTACGTCCCTCTCGATGGTTTCTGTATCTCTTTTTATTGATTTCAGACAACTCTCCATCATTTGGATGTCAAATCCCATCTTCCAAAATAATTCCAACTCTTCCTACATAGGAGCCATTCACAAATTGTTCAATATGCTCTCTAGCCTGCCATCAAAGTTGTTAATTAAAATTTTGCATAGAAACAGATGTAGGGTGGGTCCTAACAGCATCCCATTTGAAATGTGTCCTGATTGGACAGTGAACCACTGACCCATTTTGAGAATGATTTTTTTCCATATTCATAGCTCTATTTACTTTTTATTTTGCTTGCAACAATGACACGGGAGTCAGGATATATCATGTCTTCTCCTGCTACCCTGCTTATTGGGATGATTACCCTGTCAAAGACAGAAAGCAGATTGGCTTGCTCCTGACAAACACGTTGACTGCTTTGCATTGCATTAGTATTCTGCAGGTTTAAGTAATTTATTCTATTTAAACTGGGTTATTTAAATTATTTATTCTAGTATCCTTGCATAAATCTAAGTTAGGCTGGCTTCCTCTTGATGTCCTTTCTCTCTCTTTTGGAAACAAGTACTATGTTTGCTTTTCTTCACTTGCAGGAGATCTTAAAGATAATCTGCTAGTTCACAGTAGTTTCAGATTAATTTCATGATTTCCTAACAATTTGTGTAACCTAATTTATCTAAATATTCTTTAAGATGTTATTTCCTTTTAATAGTCTAAACTCCTGTCCTCTGGTTAAAAACTCCTGTCCTCTGGTTAAAACTCTACTAACTTATTGATGACTACTACCAACTTTTTGTAAAGAGCAAAGAAAAATGCAACTTTCCCTGTCATCTGGTATTTGCTCTTCTTTCCTTTTTGTTTTCCTCTTGCTTTGTATGCATTTATAAAACCTTATCCTAGTTCTAATTCATGTTACGCTGTAGTCATCCTGATTTTGGTTCTTCACACCATCCCTTATAATTATTGATAGTCATGGTTTTTGATGATTTCTTTTCAATTTCTATGGCATTAAATAGTTCCTGATGCTGTCATACCAGACCTCATTATATTCTGCTTTCCACTGGGACAGGTTGCTTGTTGTGCCTTCAATATTGCTTATTTTAGGGAATATAATTTTCTGACCACGGTGCCCTTTTGTTGGAAAAAGTTAAAAAACTGTTAGAATGTAATCCCAATTGATCCTTAGGAAAAACAGAATTTAGGAGAACTGGAAGGTAGTGATGATATACCTATCTGACAAAACTCAGTGTTATGCAGAAATAACCAAGGTTGCACAGAAATATGAGGTTTCTTTATGGGGTAAAGAAACTATGTCACGATGGCATTGAAATGTTGTGCCCATATTAATTGGCACAACAGTGCAATATAACTACACTGATATGATCTGATATTAACACTTGGTTTCTTTTTGCTCAGAGTCTCATTGATTTTTATCATAAAGACAGAACCTTATATAGTAAGGAAACTCTCCTGGACCTTTTATTTGGACTTCTTTTTTCCCCAACAGACTCTTCCACCTTGTAAACTTTAAGAATTATACTATTTGCAATTATGCAGACCATTTTCTCAGACAGTGTAAATTAGAGGACTAGACAGGTTTACATCCCTTAGGTTCCCTTCACTTTCTCTGTTAAATTACCACATAACTAAGAGATCACAGATTAAAGCGAAGTTAATTTTCACATATTGGTATTAACACCAAGGAAAGCCATTTGATGCACTTCACTCCAGGAACCCTTTTTTCCCACTGGGATGAAGAGTCAGATCAGATATTTCAGTAATATAAAATAACTTTACTGACTTGAGTATCTGACTCTTAATAGGAGAGGAAAATGTGATGTCTTCACCTTTGCATTTGGAGGAAAGAAATTACTTACCTAAATTAATAGAAAAAGCTGCTTCTTATGCCTTGCCCATCTCAGAGTCCAAGAACTCAGCATGTACAAGATTTTATTAACACAAAACATGACCTTTCCACATAAAGGAGAAAGCCACCTTGACAGCGGAAAAGCCATGCTAAAAAATCAGTCCTGAATTATGATTCGGAACAGTTCCTTAGCCAAAGTGGAAACATGAGTGCCATTCCTCTTTCTGTTACTGCGTGGCAGAAATCCTACTTATTTCAATAATATAGGAATAGCTTCATCATGCTAACAATAACAAAACCATCAGTATATGGCAAAGGGGATGATTTCTGTTGTTCGGTGATACTAAATCTCAAATAAAATTATGTTATGAATACACTGGGAAAGTGAGTATGATTTCTTTCTTAAGGCCGTGAAAACATTGTGGAATGAATTGCATATGCACAGGGCAAATTTGTCCCCTTGAACAGAAAGTAAAGTATTTGAAAGCAGCACATTGTAAACTTTTGCTGATATACCATGTCTAGATTTGTTTCTTGTCTGTATAGGTTATTCTGTTCATGGAACTGGCAAAAATCCTTCATTATATATGTATATGCAATAGGCGTTGAGTACAAGGAAAAATCATCAAGTTAGGCTTGACACTCCTCTTCTGCCAATATCTCCTACTACAGACCTGGCTTCAGAACACCTCCAGAAATTTCTTGCCTCCTTTGACAATCTCCTGAAGATTAACAGAACACATGCTTACCCAAACTATAGTATATATGTACTATAGTAGTATTATACTATAGTATATATAATAATTCAACACATTATTTGAAGCTTTATAATGCATCTGAACCATATTTTTCAGCAATAATAAGGAAACAGGATCATTACTATGGTCCATGCATGATCTGTGATGGTAAAGGCTGTAACCGAAATAACTTTGTAATTTGCAACCATATTAGAGCACTGAAAGGGCCACAGTCCATAACCATGCAGTTCTACCTGTCTCCTAAGTGTCCTTCTGGATTCCCCACAAATTCTAGCTTCTCATGCAGCAGCCATGCAAACAGGGCTTTCAGCTTGCTGTGGATGGGGAGGTCTGTAGTTCTGCATCTCCATCAGCAACCTCGGACCAGCTACTCTGCCTTTCTGTAGACTGTTCACAAGTACTCCTGGGGCACAGACTCTTTTGAGTCAGACAACTTCTGAACAATGCTACATACCCTTTTCAACAAATCTGGCTTGTCCTTCATTTCCTTACCCTGGATTTCCAGAGAATGCTAAATCAGCTTTGGGCACACGATGGTTATTACTCCATCTGGGCAAAGGATGGAAAACCCCAATAATAAGGACTGTTAGCTATCAGGTACGTTTCTGAAATTATGACTGAAAGATTTTCACATGGTGTACCTGAGCATGGTTCACAGCCTTGTACAATCTCAAATTTCCATCAAATGTCAAATTATATGACATGGACCTGGACTTGAAAAGTAAAGTTCTTCAGGGCTTAAAGAAAGGTCACCTGAGACATGGAGAAGAGGCTGTGCAAGGCTAACTTCAAGAGATGTGAGGTATTAACATTTCACTTTGATTTAACAAGGCTTAGAGACCTTCACACTCCTTTGGTTGAGAAAAGGAAAATCAAGTTTGCTGAGCACTGTAATTTGTTTTATTTACAGTATTGTCCAACTTTTAATCAGCATAAGCTTAATACCTAACTTTTAAAAGGTGGTTGAATAATTTCAAGACTCCCAAAAACCAACAAAAGGACCCTCAAAATTTAAAAGTGAAAAAGTAAAGGGCTACCATTCAATGTCTGCTTTAAAGGTGGCAAAGACAGGTAGTTCCTCCATCATTAAGTTACATTGAAAAGGGCAACTAAACAAAAAGGAAAAATCTTACAAGAAATTAAATCTGAGGTTATTTGATGAACATTTTAAAGCAGTCGTGCCACTGAAACAAGCACTTCTGCTTGCTTTGTCATTGGCTCCCTGTTCTTTCTCTGCATTATCCCCTGCTCTTGCTGAAACAGGTCTCTCTGCAATGAAGCAATGGGTAACTGATTCGGCTAAAAGCAACCTTTCCTTTTGCTGGCACTTTCCAGCTGGATCAGTGTCATGGTCATCCTCATCAGCACAAAAATGATTGTGTTAGCTGACAAACCATGGAGAATGGGAGTAAAAAACAGCATTTGGAAAGGAGCAAAAGGATTCAATACTGCGCTTTGAATACGCTCAGTGCTCCTAAGCAAGTTTTGTTGTATTTTCCTCCTGATAAAGCCAACATTTCAAATTTCTGCCATGTAATAAGGCAAAAATAAGGCTCTCCTTTCCTGTTTTGCACATTATACTTTAGTTGTGCTTGGACCAGCATAAAACAGCTCACATCTATGTGACTGACCCATTTTGCAGTTTTTCACTGTTTGCAATAATATACATTTCTTGTGTTAATACAGATTTACCTGGTCTACAAACCACAAAATATGCTGTTGGTCACTGAGAAAACCCTAAACCTAGAAGAGACTAAATGCTTTCGACCCTTTAAAGGTCTGACCTATAGACACTGGCAGTACACAGAACTTACCAGCAATGGACAGGACAGCATCAAAGCACTCACTTCTCTAAGGCAGATACAAGCTATGGCATACCATTACTTCACGGCCTTCATTTTGTGCTGATTCCACCAATGGGAAACAGTAGTCGCAACCCAGTTTATAGACTTGAGAATTGATGTGAAGGTATTTGCCATTTCTGCGGCCTACAGAAATAATGAGGAGGAGAAAGAAAGGCGGACATTTGGTGTCTGTAGAAAAGAAAATAAGCCATGATATACGCCCTTCACTGGCCTAATAGCTTGAAAATCTCCACCCATTTTAAAGGAGGTGATACAATTGCAGTGCAATTCAGGTTATTTTTTACCATCACAATACAATGAGCACAGACTGCTCCTTTCTGTCTAGCAGGCTCTCTGCTCCATGACAGGAGGTGTTCAAGTGGGAGTGCTAGAGAGCATTTACCTTGGCCTTCCCATCACATATGGAATAAAAAATATTTATGGTAATGATGCTACTGCAATTCTGCTTGTAATAGATTCAAAATGCTAAGTGAAAGCACCATGTAGTGGGAGCACAGCACTGAATTATTCCTGTGTATTGAAATGCTGATAGACAAACTAGACTGCTAAGTAATTAAGTCACTATTAGACCAAACCATTAAATCCATTGTTTGCTGTTTTAACTGCTGCTAATTGCTGTCACCATGACAACAGTTGAGTTTCTTTTTCTGGTATCTCCACGCAGTTTCCTTTCCATAATGGAGCCTGTGACACGGAAATTTACATCTTCCCAAATTGAAATACTTCTTGTGTTGAAATAAAGGCAGACATCTTTAGATAAGAATGATTTTAATGTCAGCAGTAAAACGGGTCTTATCTAAATTTTTGATAATTTGTTTGCAGAATTATTTGCATCTTAACACAAAGTAATTTAAAGTAGATTATTAATTTTAAAAACTTGCCTACTCACTTGCATCATAAAAATCATAGTTCAGATTAAGATCAGGGAGGTAAATGCATCGGGCTAGCATAATATGCTGTATCTTGTGCAGACCTTAGCTCACACCCTGTTTATGGCTATGCTTACATTAAACATTAAGCTTGGGTCAGAGCCCAGATTTTCTCTCTAATTCATTTTTTAAAAAAAATTATAGTTATTTTGGAGCCTTCCAAATATTTAAGTCCCTATATTTAGGTTACAGCCATCCCATAGCACCTATTCTGAAACCCTGTGTGGATCCCTATGTTCAGTAAGGAGCCTCCCAGCCCCATCAATCTGTTATGCCATTTGAATGGGAGATGAATCATTGCTGAGCTGCAGATAGGAGTCTGCTCCTAACTGCTTGTCTAATATTAACTGCTGATCCCATCTCCCAGGAATGAAGGAAAAATATCCAGAGAAAAGCTGGAGCCCTCTCAGTCCTTCCCATGCCTGACTTCAGCAACAGCTGAGAAGAGGTGCTGTGAAACGATGCCAGCACTTGGTTAATATTAGACTCTATTTTCCAAGGAGAAAGAGCACAAAGAGGACTACCCTGGAGCTCTGACTGGAAGAGAACTCCAGGACTTTTTCTGGTTTTCACTTCTGGAAGGAAAGGCTCCAGTATAAACCAAACAAGAGCTATTAAATACATTTCCTCTAATCCAACTCCAGAGGCTGCTTCCTAGGGATGGAAGAGCAGAGAAGAGCCCTGCAGGTAGACTCCTCTCAAGTGCTATGGCACCACTCTTGGCAATTGTGTCTTGCACGAAACTTGTCTCTGGCCACGGACACAAGAGTGTGCCAGCAGCTTCTGCAGGCCAAAGCCCAGAAACCAAGCCTGAGCTTAAATTAGTGTTAACAAAGTCCAAAGTCTGTGACATCAGTAAAAATTCAATGTGCTGGTTCTTTGTACACATTTTATTTGTTCACATTGAAAACATTGCAAAATCTGCCAAGATCTGGTAGCAATACAGTGCCCAGCATTTAGACTGTGAAAAACTGAGAAAAGTATATGGTAAAGTTTGAATGACACCCAAAAAGTTAGTGTGATTAGCCCAACCCTCAGCAATTTTTCTCCTTCACAAATGTTCCCATGCTATAGTGGGGAGACTACACATATGTTGCTGTAAAGGATTATGGGTCCAAAAAGCTATTTAGAAGTCTATCCTAAACATGTAGAAATGATGAGTTAATGCCCAGATCTCATTTCAGCAACCAGCATGTATCCATTTCTGGTGCAGGGGCTGAAGCCAGTACAGAGGCTTCCCTCGTACCATTTAGACATTCTCAAACCTTCAGGGAATTAAAAACTGTCACACATTGTTCTCCAAAGCACTCAAGACAGTGTCATGATACTTGCTTCAAATTGGCCACACACAGTATGTGTTATAAGAGCCAAACAAGATTTCAAATTCCAGAATTATCATACTAACACACAACATTAGCATCTACTAATGATATCTTAACAAATCTAGCTTCAGTTTAGTGCTTCGGTTTAGCTGACCTACTGGATCCTGGGAAAAGTCAAATTACTGTCATATACCTATGAATAGTGGAGCAAAGTAGAAGGCAAATTTGATAGTCAGTCTGGCCATTTTGATTCCCCAGGTTGATTCACAAGCTCCAAACTCTTCTGCCACAATACTGCTTGATAGAAAGAGAGGACATACTTAGACTGTCATTAGCACTGTGATAAACAACCCCACTCACCAATATCAGCAATTAGGCTGCCTGGTTCCTGCTCCGACATGAACTGCTGCACCTTTGGCCACGCCTTGTAGTGTGCGCCATTGAGTAAGGAGCAATTTTCTCATATACGCTCTGAACGTGGTCCTTCTCGAGTTGGCTTACCTCCTTCTCCACCACAACCAAGGCTAGGCTAACTCATTGAAGGCAGTGCAACTGTCCTAGAGAAAGGGAAGGGAGAAAAACAAGTGCTGAAACTCTTGTTACCAAAGTACATTTCCTTAAGTTAAGCAGTATTACATTGTTTATTTAGGAAATAGTATTTCCAAATACTATGTTGCCATTAAAGAGAAATTGCTGAGGCTTTTAAAGGAAGAAAGGTCATTTATTCTATGATTTTACACAATGTATTGTTTTCTTATATAAATCTGAAAGGAATTTTATGACCTACCACTCAATGTTTATTAACTTGCTTATATTGTTATACTTTGGAAGCTGTTAACTTTTGCTTCATAAAGTCTTCCACCCTTTTTCAGTCTGCCCTTGAAAAAGATGTTTTCTAAGAAGTCCTTTGTTTACAGACACATCTTAAAGAACAGCAACTGACAATGATGATGAATACCAAAAGCTGCTCAGAGTCTGAAACAAAAGCTCTGAGAGGCATCATTTCTCCTCCGCTTCATTCAGCACCCAGAAAGATCCATGCTTACAGACCTCCCATTGCACAATTCATTGACACTGTGTGTTACTGTGATCAAAAATCTTTCCAGCTTTCCAAGCATCCTTTTTTTTCAGCTGTTCTGGATTGGCTTGGTGCACGGGGATTAGCAATGCCCCCAGGAAAACCCTGTGGTATTGTGAATAGCCTATCGCATCCTAAGTCATTGTTCAGTTCACCATAAAGATTTGTACAGAAAGGCTGTAAAAATCGTGAACTTCACTGAACACATGCTGTCCATGCCAGGATTTCCACTGATTTATGTGAAGATTCGGGCCACCAAGACAGGCTGCTCCTGCTCCACTCGTATGCTGCAAATAACTCCTTGCAGAATAACTTCTCCTCTGAGCCAAAGGTATCAATGACAGCACCTCACCCAAGATCTCTGTACTGCAGGCTGGCCATTAATCTGCCTCCTGATACAGTCCTTATCTGGTCCTTATTTTCAAACCCATAAGCATTTAAAATCCGGTCAACTCAAAAGTCTATTGTTTTGTGATTTCCTCGGCAATTACATCAGAGAGAAACACTGCAGCAGACTAAGCCCAAATTCGATCCTGCAGTAACAGCAAGAAACTAACTCTGGAGGGGTTTTGGTTATGTCCCTTATTAATCTGAAAAACTCTGCTAGGATTAAATCCTGTAGCCCTTGGTGTCTTCTGTCATATCACATCACTGTGAAATTGCCCAGACCGCAAGTTTCCTGAATATCCCGCCTAGATCAAAGTGATGACAAGTATTGGAGTGGGGTGAAGAAATTCTTTGGAAGATCTTCACTGTTCTCTTCATTATATGTGTTGCTAAATAACAGCTGCTTCAGACACACAGATAATAAAAAAAAAAAAAATGACAGTATGAGTTGTCTTGGTTTAGTCTCTCCTGCACAGAAATGGATATCTTTTTAGCTTCTAGTGAGGTGTAAAGCCATCACCTTGCAAGCACTTACACAGGTGCATAACTCTGTGTGTGCAAATAATACCACTGACCAAATCCAGTGGGGATATTCCAAGCAAAGAGTTCACCACATGCATTAGTGAGTACAAGACTGGCTCTCCAAGGCAGAAGGCTTTTTTTATTGTTCTTCATTACAACCAAACTCTGCTGTAGAAGCTACTTTTTAAAAAATACCTTCAGAAAAACCCTGGTTGAAATAGCTGAAGTGCTCTACTGGGGATCATTTCAAGAGGAAGCTGATGTACTATCAAATATAGAGGGAAAGGCAGAAGGAGGTGAGAGAAGGAGAGGGAAATTGTTCTTTGGAAAAGCCGCAACATCATTTCAAAGCTTTGCTATTGCTTCATTTGACAAGAGGAAATAATAACTGGTGAATTGATGTAAGATCACAGGAGTGAAAAGAACAGAGCTGTTTCTGTTTAACTCTAGGCTTACACTCAGGATAGCTCACTTAGGCAGAGGGACAGTCTGGAACTTGCTACCAGCTTGAGACACTTAATTACCAGGAAAAGAAAAAAGGTGCATATGAAAGCATCTAGCAAGAGAAAGCACATCGTAAGACACCCTTTCAAACTAAGGCAAAAAAAAATGTTTAAATGCAAAAAAACCCATCATGAGTCGTGTGTAAAACAGTGTCTCCTCTGGAACAGGAGCAAAAAAGTTGTATCAGATGTACCATTTATGTTTAAATCCCACTTAGAATTAAGATAGCATCTTTTGTTTTAAAATGGTAGCTCCAAGAGTGGGGGAAACAGTCTGGTGTCCTGGTTTTGGCTGGGATAGAGTTAATTTTCTTCCTAGTAGCTGGCATAGTGCTGTGTTTTGGGTTTAGTATGAGATAATTTGATAACACACTGATGTTTCAGTTGTTGCTAAGTAGTGCTGACACTAGTCAAGGACGTTTTCAGCTTCTCATGCTCTGCCAGGTGCACAAGAAGCTGGGAGGGGGCACAGGCAGGACAGCTGACCCAAACTGGCCAAAGGGCTATTCCATACCATATGGTGTCATGCTCAGTATAGAAACTGGGGGGAGTTGGCCGGGGGGCAGCGATTGCTGCTCGGGGACGGGCTGGGCACTGGCTGGAGGGTGGTGAGCTGTTATATCACTTGTTTTCCTGGGTTTTGTTCCTCTTTTTGTTGTTTTCCTTTTCACCATGTATTATTATTGTTGTTATTATTCTTATAATATTTTATTTTATTTCAATTATTAAACTGTTCTTATCTCAACCCACAAGTTTTCTTTCTTTTGCCCTTTGGATTCTCTCCCCCATCCCACCAGGGGGGAGGGTGAGAGAGCGGCTGCATGGTGTTTAGTTGCTGGCTGGGGTTAAAGCACGACATCTGGACTCTCTGGAATTTAAAAGTCCAACTCTGCAAGGCATTATTATAATAAATATTCTGTAAGTTTCTTACAAGAAAGTAACGCTTTTCTGGGGAGGCTGGAGGAAGAGACCAGTCAGGTCAGTCCCCAGCAATCACCAGCAGTCATGCTACGGACATTTCTGCTTAGAGGACTCCAGTGAATGCTCATCTCCTATGCTTACCAAGCCATAAACCACAAAATGCTTGTCAACACTCCATTTAATGCTTTTAGTACAACAGGCTGAAAACCGCATAAAACACAGTGCACCAGAGGTAGAGAGCTGAGAGATGTTTGAGGGCACAGCCACTAAGTTTACTAAGTAAAACTGTTCAGACAACCCTAGGAAGCTGGTTATGACCCACACTGCAGAAGCAAGGAAAAAAAAAACAAAATCAAAAAGCAAACAGGGATGCCCACCAATCTAGCCTGCAGGAAAATAATTTCTGGGGGATTGACTGAGGTTCAAACATTTACACATGCCATTCTGAACCTCAAAGACTTTCCAGTTTATCATCCCCAACATCCTTTCTCTAGTCACAAGGAAAGCCAGAAAATAACTTAGAAATCAAGCTAGGGATCAGGAAAAAAAATTTTCTGCCCAACACAAAATTGGATATTTAGTGCTGCAAATGTCACGCAATGGCATTTTACATTGGTGGTGTTTGCTTATTCACATAACAAAGGCTTTGGGGAATGCAGATATTTTCTTTTGAGCACACTCACCCCTACCTTTATGCAAATTTTTAAAAAAGTAATTCTATTCATCTGGGGCTGGTAGGAAAGCAAAATGAAGAGGTACAGAGCAGCAGTTCAGCCTGACTGCCTGCCACCTAATCTTAAGCTAAATTTGACACAACTTGATTGAAAGCAAAATTAAATTTTAGTTTAAAAACCATTAAAAACTTCTGAGTTCATAAGCGATTATTAACTTCCTGAACACTGTGAAGCCTCTGACTGTTCATGCGGGATGCAAGCCTCGTGCAGGCTGTGCCCCACGCTTTGGGGAGCCCTGACACTCCACAGCATCGCTCCCCAAGGGGTACCACAGGCAGCTGGTGGAGGCGGGTCTGGCTCCCGCATCCAGAGCAGGAGCTCATCCTCTGGCTGTGGCGTGGTGGCTTCTGCTGTGTTATGAGTGCCTTAAATTTATCTTTGAATTTAAAGAGAAATGTAAAGAAACTCTAAATAATTTCATTCTTTGGGTAATACCCAATGATGTCAATTTAACTCAGCTGCTCTGTGGTTCAACCTAATAGGAGAGAATAAACCGAACTGGCAATAAGCTTGCTTTTGACAGGGAGAGTCTTCTAGAAGGATGTGTCATCAGACAGCTCCCAGATGTAATGAGTAATTTCTGATTTTAAAAAATGCCTATTCTTTCCCCTTGCCCCTGAGTGCTTGCAGCTGTGGAGGCAGCCGCAGGACCGGGCTGCCAGGGGCTGTGCAGTGGCTCTCACCCAGCTCAGCCTGGTGAGCTCCGAGCAGCTCTGCCAAGGCCCCTCCAGCCCCTCCGGAGCCCCGTCCACATGGACCATCCCATGGAAGAGGTGGTGAGAGCACAGGAGAAATGGGGCTGGCTCAGAGATGTGTCCCAGCGCCACCGAGCCCTCCTTGCCACCGGCCCGAGAGACAAAGCTGGAGCTGCCCAGCTGAGCTGGGCTTCTTCAGAAACAAGATTAGCTTAAGTCTTGCAGTAATTAGTGCCAACAAATGACATAACAACTGGCCTACCGTAGCTGAAAATCAAAACCAACAACTCCAGGAACATGCCATTTCTAATACCTATGAAAGAGATGGCGGTCCTTTCCTCCCATTGGTTAAATAAGTATTTTTGTGACAATACATTTTGTAAGCCTGCTTAATTCTCCTGCCTCTCTGTGCCACCTGCACCATCATCATTATACATCATCATTATCCCACCTTATACACAAACATTATAATGTGACTGCATTGAAATAGCTTTTCTGTGAAGTGCCTAATCTGTGTGTGAAACACTGCAAATACTCAGCTGGACCTTGCTAGGGTTCCTTCAGGGACCTTCAGCAAGTTTTTGTCTTCCAGCAGCAGCAGCAGCCACAACAGCAGCGCTCTGCCAGTCAGACTAACAGTCCCTACCCCTGTGAAGCAGATAAGAAAAGAGCAAGAGAGGAAAAACTGT